AGAAATTGAATTACAAACTTTGTTACATTGCATTAATCAATCATTTAAATTAATCCACTTACAATAATTTGACAGTTGTTAGAAAATGTAAGAAGTGAAGTTGGCAGTTGAAAAGAATTTTGTGTGCACCCTTCACTATAAAATATAAATATTAAAATGACAATTTAAAGATCTGTACGTCAAATGTGTAACATTCGCATTTAAAATGAATATTTCATAGCCATATTTTATATATTGTCTAGGTTTCATAGTAACTTTTTAAAAATTTAATTTAATATAGTATTTTGCGACAACTGTAGCAAAACACACAAAATACATTTTAGGATTTCACAAGAAAAAAGTTTTTGCTGAAGAAACAAAGGACTAAAGGCACATGAAACATTAAGGAATGGAAATTAAAAGTTAGATAATAATATATCATGAATGACAATATAGCATTAGCGACAATGAAAAAGTAATTGATTTTTATTTGAGGTTATAATTTAAATTTGAATAATGAAGATATAAAATATGTACCATTATTTGGTGTTTTCCATAAATTTTAACTCTCTAATTAACAAATTTTTCTTTATCTCATAAAGGAGATATGAATCAATTATATAAGATTATAAGTTCTTACTTCATGGTAGGTTTTATAACAATTCATTATTCAAATACATAATAATAGATGTGATATTTATGTCTAATAGTAGTTTCAAAATGTACAATTAAGTCTAATCCAACATCCTAACATAAAACTTTTAATAGACATAAAAAGATTTATATGCCTATTCTCACATAAGCTCACTCTGTTATTTTTACCTATTGCTTATCATGGTTATTTTCCTCTCAGAATAAATGAATCCTATCTCTTGTACATACTGGTCTTTTGCTCAATAAAATACCTACTTGTTTTTACAAAACACTTTTATATTAGACATCCATATCTATCAATTTAATCTATGAACCCATTACAAATGTTGTATCATAAAATTTTAGAAATATTCAATTCTTTTTTATATGTGCAATAATTCCAATTAAAAATTTCTAATGCTATGAAAATGCTTTAAAAATATATCTATGTAATAAATTCATCATATAAACATACCATAGTTTAATTTAAATTTTTTTCTTGGGAAATAAAGATTCAAAAGGCCGAGTTCA